GATTGTTGTTGGGGGCGATATGCTGACTCTGTAAACCGCTTAGAGAGGGCTGAAAGCCCTATGAAGCGGGATATAAGTCTAACTGCTATTGCTATAAGCGGATTCATTCAGAGGGCTCTAGAGCTTAGGAAGCTTCTTCCTCTCGATTGTTCATGGTTGCTCATGCCATGGCTTCTTCCTAACATGGATCCTTACGTTGCTCCTGACTGCAGATTCAAAGTAAGGGCATATGGTGTGGCACCAAAACCTGAGCTCTATCATGGAATACACCAGTGGTGGGTTGCTCTTACCATCGCTACTGGTACGCTGATCGCGGTCTGTCCGTGCACCTGCCTGACGTGTGCTGCGCACGCATGCGCAATCCACCGCACCTGTGACACCCAGCTGCTTGTCGGGGCGCGGGCAGGCTCCGCGTGCTGTGTGCAGAGTGCCTTTTGGCATAAATACAGTTATAGATGGGCCAAACAAGCCACCGTACCGGTATTCCAGTGGTGGGTTCCGGATCCTGTTGCAAACGGTACGGTGCAATGGGGTCGAGTGTCCACCACGTGCACTTGTGCAGCACGTGTGCAGCACGCGCGCAACACATGTATGTGTACTTATTGCCCGTGATGCTCTGTGACACTCCAGCTGCTCGGAGAGCATTGTGCAGGCTCCGTACACTCCGTGCGCTGTATGCTCCATGTGTGTGCGCGTAAGCCCCGATCGGCTCAAATACAGTTAAGGAGGGCGGTCAGGTGGGTGGGCCCTCTGGAGCAGGGTACAGGAATGGTACCTGGTGCTCCCAGCAGACACCAGTACACCTGTACTGGGGCATACCAGTCATATCCCACCACTGCGGTATGCTCTCAGCTGCTCCAGGCCACTAACAGTATGGCCGTATCGATCAGGACTAGCAGTAACCCATCACTGGAACACATTCAATTGTTCATGATTGCTTATTCCACAACTTCTTCCTTGCATGTATCTTCATGTTGCTCTTGACTGCAGATTCAGAGTATATTATAATCATGGTGTAGCAACCAAAATCTGAGCTCTATTATGAAATGCACATTGAAATAGTAATACAATATTTATCTCAAACATAATATAGAGTGCTTTTCCTTCTCCACTCCCTTGGCCTGCTTTAGCTACTGCTTGACGTTACAATAGGGATGAGAAAATAACTTTGCTACCAATAGACTTATTTAGCGTTTTACAGAACTCTCTGAGTGATTTACAGAGTCAGCATATTGCCCCCAACAATCTGGGTCCTCATTTTACTGACCTTGGAAGGATGGAAGGCTGAGTCAGCCTTAAGCCACATCAGGATTAAATTCCAGGCTGTGGGTGGGGTTAGCCTGCAATACTGCATTCTAACCACTGCACCACTATGGTGCCTGCCTGCCTTCCTTCCTTCCTTCCTTCCTTC